TGTGAATGATTGTCATTGGTTATAATTTTTCAGTATATAATCACATAATAAGGGAGGAAGATATATATAAATAAGGTTAACTGGCAATCATACATTTTCAGTCATAACAAACTGACTTTTTTACAATTTCGAATATTTAAAAAACCAAAACCTCCAATAGAAAGCATCTTGAAAAATTCACAAAACAAAGACTAGTTTGCATCCACCCTTGCAAGGGCCTAGCACATGGCTCAGTTTCCTGTGGACCCAACCCACACGCCAATTAGATCACTGCCTTGCCACTATCAATCTAAATAACTATTCATAGCCTTTGTATGCATTAGCTAACAAATACATTTCAGTGACTGTGTCAAAAAAACCCACACCAAAACACTTACTCCTCTGATTTAACAAAAATGTATTTGGCATAATCCACGAGAAAACATTCTGTTTGATAATGATCTGTACAGTACATGATTGACTTAATAATCGCTCTACACCAGCATTTGAGTTCCTCACTGAAAACCACACACATCTGTAAGAGAATGAAGACAGCAGGTTCTTGTAAATGTACCAAATTACACTCAAGTTTTTTTTTTAGAGGCAAGAATAAAGTATTTATTATACAGCCCTCAATTTCATTTTTCAAATGCAAGCATTGCAGCTTGATAAGTAAGCTGCAATTAAGTAAGCAATTAATAAGCTTAATTGCTTTGTAAGTAGTTATGAAGTTTACAGATAAGAAGATATAACCCACACAGATACCATTATCTACTTTTCTACACAGTAATATTAAAAGAAACATATTAATGCATACCTTGGATACTTCACCCCCAAACCTATGGCAATAACAGATTATTTCTATCGACCCAATATAGTAATGATTTTACCTGGCCTTCTTCTACCGTTAGTGGTTTTACTTCATCCACATTTTTACAAGATTTGTCATAGAATTGATTCATTTCAGCATGCAGGTTTTTATATTTTATTTCATCAACTACGTAAGGCCCACATCCTTTCATAGTAACCCAAAAGCAACCTGGATCTTCAATCTGGGGCAAGGGGTAGATAACAATAACAAACACTATTAACTCATGCTAAAATGACAGGATGTCTTTAAAAACATCCGAGCTGCAAATGCAAAATTAAAACTTACAATCTTTAGCAAGGCATCTTAAAAATTATGGGGACTAACACTTAGCATACAGAGTGTTAACAAGCAAAACATCTTTCAAATTCAGATCATTAGTTCATTAAATGGCTTCTCAGCTCACGAGTTTCTTTAGCACTGCAATTAACAGCACAGTCTAAAAGGTAGCATTATCTAAGGAGTCGCTTAAACCAGTGGGTAACCTGCAAAGACATAAAGCTTTTTACTTCCGTAATGGCTGCAAGAAGTATATACAAAAACCCTGAAACACACAAACCTCAGCACAGAGCATTTCTTGGTGCTCAGAGTCTACAACACAGTCAGTTTCTTTAAAACAGGGTCAGGGCTTTAAGTTCAGCTTTTGTAAACCTTTATATCCCAGTCTTTCAGCTGAGGAGCATCCCCAGTTGTTGTGGGTTAATCCCAGTGAGCAGCTAAACACCACACAGCTACTCCCTCACTCCCCTGCAGTGCGATGAGAGAACCGGAGGGGTAACAGTGGGAAAACTCATGCGTTGACATAAAACCAGCTGAACAGATAAAGCAAAAGCTGCACATGCAAGCAAAGCAAAATAAGGAATTCATTCACCACTTCCCATCAACAGGCAGGTTTCCGTCTTGCCCATTGGCAGGAAGATGTGTAGCCATTTCCAGGAAAAAAGGGCTCTGTCACATGTAACACTGACTTGGTAAGCCAAATTTGGTAACTGCCGATACCCCCTTCCCTACAGCTTTTATTGCTGAGCATCATATAGCATCATATGCTATAGAGTATCTTTTGATCAGTTGGGGTCAGCTGTGCTGGCTGTATTTTGGGAAAACAATTTTTTCATGATCTCTTGTGGAATTCAGTAGAATCCAGCATTGTACTACAATCTATTTAAGATTATGTTGCACATCTGCCAATTTAGGTTTTAGTTCCATCCCTGCTGGCCTCTTTTGAGGTGAAACCAATATAATCACCTAGAATAAATGACAAAACGTATGTAACCCACACACGACCTCACTTGTATAAGACAATGCTTCTAAGCAGAAATACAGAGACATCATCTTATCTGTGAATCTGACTTCCAGAGAACTGCACTGAAGTAAACAAGCAGCAATTCTTTAGACTTTAATAATCGTTACCATACCTCTAACACCAAGACTTCCATGGTTCTCAGCTCAAGTATTCCTCAATACCACTGTAAAAGAACAAACCTTTAATTAACTATTTTTAAAGCTGTCATTTGTTTGGAAGCATATTTTAAGTGCATACACCTAAATCAAGCCCATAGATTTTTAGAACAGAATCACAAAACCTTGTAGGTTGGAAAAGATCTTTAATATAATCAAGTCCAACCGTTAGCCTAACACTGCTAATACCACCACTAAACCATGACCTGCAGCACCTCATCTCTTAAATACCCCCAGGAATCATGACTCAACCATCTGCCTGAGCTGCTTGTGCCAGTGCCTGACAGCCCTTTCAGTGACAAAATTTTTCCTAATACCCAATCTAAACCTCCTCTGGTGCAACTTCAGGTCGTCTCCTCTCATCCTAGGCAACTGATTTACATAGATCAAACAGCTCAAGCCAGCCTTCTTAATGAGGCGCTACATTAAAATCTAATTAAGATTTGCCATCCACACTTATTTACATGCGACCACATAAATTTTTAGTAAGCCAAAACATACCTGTTATCCTCAACCTACTTACAGTATACAGCTGCTTATCATACATTCAAAGATACATTACAACACATACAGGGTGACTGAACACAAGAGCTGCTGCGTGCTATCTACATGACCAAATAGCAACACCACAGGTAAATGCTTACATCGTCAAAAAATCCCAAACCTAACACAAGAGTCCCAACCTCAGCAAACAATTTTAATGTAACAGAAATTTTTTTACCAGTATTTCACACTACAGTCATCCACAATGGTACACACCATACCTAGGCATTACAGTGGAGCAATAAACTGCCTACAGACTAAATTTGCATTTCATTTTGGTACAAACCAGCATATCATGGTATCATCAGTGCAGCATCATTTACTACTTCAGAATTCACGCTGGAAGCAAAAGCTTAATAAAATGTTTTGGAAGAAAAAAGACATTGGCCTTCCACTTCCAAAGCTCGTGTTGGACAAGTCAGCACAAAATGAAGCGATACAACCATGGTCATAACTAGCAGCATGCTTTGCTAGGAGACAGTAATAATTATTCCCAGTCTGACACTACAATAAACCAGCTGAAACTATTTTAAAAACCTGACCTATGATACAACATAGCATTCAGCTCACACATAAATCTCTAGCACTGCACTACAATATACTGTAACACTAGATACACGGTGCTATCTCAGACACAAGACAAATGCTTTTATTTCAGGAATAACATGCCAGAGGCGCAAATAACCTCTCCTAATCTCTCATTCTGAGAGGTGTAAAACCAGTAAGTGACCTACTGAAGTATCCAGGATAAAGCACACACACACAAAAGGTTAACTTTTCTGATATATTCTTTAGAACAACATACCCGCCGTGTTATTAAGATCTAAATGAGAATGTTTGCTGACCCCTTGTACCCAACAATAGGAGAATTTACCTGGTAAAGATGCAAGGGACCCTTAAACCCCTCACCCCAAAGCGCTACCTTAAGGACATGGCAGAAGGTAAAGTAATGCCTCTCCAGCAACACCAGTCTGACGGGGAAGCTCCTGCAAAAACCAACTCGCTGTCCTAGCCACTCTCCCCTCCAGTCAGCCTCACTCCATCTCGAAAACCCACATGGAATAAACACAGCGCAAGAAAGCAAACCCACCGTAAAAGGCAAAGAAGAATCTTGAAACTACGTTTTTTTGTTTATTCTCCCCTACTCCTCCTCGCTCTGCCTTAGTTTCATAATCTCCCTCGTAAGAATAACCCCCCTAACCTCAGCCCCCAAGGTCTCCGTGCCCGCAAGCGCCCAAGCACGGCCCTACCACAGCTCCTCTCCGCTCCCTTTGGAAGTTTCCAGAAGCGGCGGCCCAGCGGCCTCCAAAACCAGGCCCCGTGCGCATGCGCGCGCAGGCCGCGGCGTACGAGGAGGCGGT